TTTACTGTCATATAGGTGATATTGATTAAGAATAGGCTGCTACTATTCCACGTTATTTACAAGTATCAATACCATTAAACTAATGTATTTTACACCTATCAGCAGACACCACACTTCTTCCATCATAGGAATGGGTATGTAAGTGTGTTTCTTCTTTGAATCTACCCAAACCAGTTTGCCTATTGAACCTAGACCATGGATCTCCAATCAACTAGGTTAGGTTTTCGTTTGACAATTTCATTTTACTCTATTGGCTTTAAACCCATTCCCCTCGATGTATGCTTAACTTGCTCTCTAGGCAAACCTTTAGTAGGTGGATCCGCAATATTATCTTTTGACTTGACATAGTCAATAGAAATTACACTACTAGAGAGTCATTGCTTTATTGTATTATGCATTCGTCTAATTTTTCTAGACTACCCATTGTATACACTATTTTTAGCTCGATATTATGCAGCTAAACTATCAAAGTGTATACATATTGCTGTTACAGGTTTAGGCCATATGGGAACATCTTCCAAAAAATATCTTTGCCACTCAGCTTCTTCTCCAGCCTTATTGAGAGCTATAAATTCCGATTCCAACGTTGATCTCTATGCATGTTTGTTTGGAATGTTTCCAAGATATTGCTGCTCCTCCCAAAGTAAATACATAACCACTTGTGGATTTTATATCAGTACTATCAGATATCCAATTCGCATCAGTAAATCCTTCAAGCACAGGAGGATACCTCGTATAATGCAATCCATAATTCATTGTATGCTTTAAGTATCTCAATACTCGAATTAAAGCTTCCCAATGATCATGCCCAGGATTGCATGTAAGTCTACTCACTGAGTATGCTATATCAGGCCTTGTACAGTTCATAATGTACATAAGGCTTCCAATAACTTGTGAATACTCACGTTGAGATATAGCATTTCCACTATTTTTCTTTAGTTTGCTATTTGCATCAAAAGGAGTAATTGCATCTTTACTTTCCAAATGACCATAAGTGTAGCTTCTATATAATGGGATTGTGTCAGAATACAACCTTCTTGGTTTCGTTTGATTTTTATACCAAGAATCACATCAGCTAGACCAAGATCTTTCATATCAAAACTTGATTTCAATATCTTCATGGTCCAATTTATTATCTCTTGTTAGTTCCCATATCATCTACATATAAACACAACATAACGCATGCATTATTTTGAGTTTTTGTGTAGACACACTTATCACACTCATTTATCCTAAATCCATGAGTGATCATAAGATGGTAAAATTTTTCATGCCATTGCTTTGGAGCTTGTTTAAGCCCATATAGCGATTTCACAAGTTTACACACTTTGTGTTCTTGACCTTTAACCACAAACCCCTCGGGTTGTTCCATATATATTTCCTCATCTAAATCTCCATTTAAGAATGTAGTCTTTACATCCATTTGATGTATTTCCATGTTATGGAGTGCAGCTATAGCAATCAATAGTCTTATTGACGTAATTCTCATTACAGGAAAGTATGTATCAAAGAAATCCAAACCATGTTTTTGACGGTATCCTTTAACCACCAAATGAGCCTTATATTTTTCAATTGAACCATTTGGTTTTAATTTCTTCTTAAAGATCCATTTGTACCCAATTGGCTTATTGCCAGGGGGCAAATCGACTAATTCTCATGTATAATTTTGCATAACGGAATCTATCTCACCGTTAACTGCATCCTTCCAAAATGGAGCTTCAGGAGTGGACATGGCCTCCTTGAATGATTGAGACTCGATTTCAATTAATAAGGTCACAAAATCAGGCCCAAAGTCCTTTCGAATTTTTGTCCTTTTTGTCCTTCTAGGTTCAAGTTATTCTTCTTCTTGAACTCTACACGAGGATGAACAATCATCATGTTCTCTAGGTTTGTCATTAAGCTTAGATACATCATCATGTAATCTCTTTTTCAATAAATTAGACTTGCCCATTTTGTATGGAAATATATTCTCAAAAAATATTGCATTTATAGATTCAATAATAGTATTGACATGTACATCGCTTACTTTGGAATGAAAAACTAAGAATCTATAAGTTGAACTATTAGATGCAAAACCAATAAAAACACAATCTATTGTTTTAGGCCCTAATTTTGTTCTCTTTGGCAATGGGACTTGTACTTTTGCCGGGCAACCCCACATTTTAAGCAATTTAAACGTTGGGGTTTTTGGTGGAATTCGATTCAAAATTTTATTTGCAATAAGTAAGGCTTCACCCCATAAATTGTGTGGAAGCCCAGAGCTATTCAACATGGAGTTGATCATGTCTTTAAAAGTCCTATTTTTCCGTTTGGTAACACCATTTTGTTGCGATGTATAGGGGCTGTTGTTTGATGAATTATGCTATGTGTGGCACAAAATTCAGTAAAAGCATGTCACTCATATTCTCCTCCCCTATCGGACCTCAAGACTTTAATCTTCTTGTTAAGTTGATTCTGAACTTTTGCTTTATATGTCTTAAACATATCCAAGGTCTCATCTTTGCTATGAAGTAAGTAAACATAACAATACTTACTGAAATCATCTATAAAAGTTACATAATAGTTCTTTCCACCACGAGCTGGATATGATCTAAAATCACACAAGTCACTATGAATTAAATCTAACAATTCATTGGATTTTTCATGCACCGATTTAAAGCTTTGACTTGAAAATTTCAATTTTGTACAAGTAATCAAGTTTGGGTAGCAAACCTAAATTATGCATTTTAAAAAGAGAACGAAAGTTTACATGTCCTAGCCTAGAGTGCCATAAATTAGACGAATCAACAATATAAGCAGAAGCATTATTTATTTCATTCATAGCATTAGCAAGTACATTTAGTTTGAATAATCCATCAACAAAGTAACCCTTTCCCACAAACATTCCCCCTTTTGCTAGTACAAACTTATTGCATTCAAAAACTAGTTTGAATCCCTTACTACTAAGGATAGGACCAGGAACAAGATTCTTCCTTATATCGGGGACATGCAACACATCAAGGAGAGTTAATTCCTTTCCAGAAGTAAATTTCAGAACACATTTCCCTATTCCAGCCACCACAGATGCAGACGCATTTCCCATAAACAACTGCTCATTTCCCTCAACTTTCTGGTACGAAGAGAACATATTTATGTCACCACATACATGGTGAGTCGCACCAGTACCTATCTACCAGCCAGCGTGGTCAGATACAAGGTTAATTTCAGAAATCATTGCAACCAAAGCATCCACATTATTTTCAATCAGGTTTGCCCCGTTGTTGTTGCCTTGATTTTCAGGACCTTGATCCCTTCGATGGCGACATTCTTGAGCCCTATGGCCTTACTTTCCATAAACCCAGCAACTTCCCTTAATTTTCTTGAAGTATTTGCCTTTCACACCACGGACAATGTTCTTTTCCTTCTTCTTAGTTTTTTTGGAATTTCGGCCTTTGCTTTGATGAACTTCCTTCTACAACATTCACCTTGGAGTTTTTGTTGGAGATAATTCTTTAACTCCTTCCAAGAAGGTGGCAATTTCTCAATAAAGGACGCCACTTGAAAAGACTCATTGATCACCATCCTTTCAACATGAATGTCATGAATGATTTTCTGAAGATCTTTAGTTTGAGAGACAATGGACTTGGAATCCACCATTTTGTAGTCCAAAAATTTGCCCATGACAAATTTCTTTGAACCAGCATTCTCTGTTTTATACTTTTTCTTTCCCAAAGTTCCTTGGCTGTTTTGCACACCACATAGACATCATACAACGAATCATCTAATGCATTAAGAATAAAGTTTTTGCAAAGGAAATCATTATGATTCCAGGCATCTATACCCGTCAAAATTTCAGCAGAAAAAATATTTTCTCCATCTGCAGTAGGTATAGTCTTGCGCATAATATTTGCCAAAGTCAGAGTTGTCAAATAAAACAGCATTTTTTGCTATCATCTTTTGAAGTTTCCGCCCTTAAATTTCTTAGGCTTTTCAGAATGAGGTTTAGTTCCTGATTGTTCCATACTGTTTAAAGATTGTTAGGGAACAATTTAGAAACAAAAATAACAGAAATACAGAACTACAAATACTTATACTTTATTGCTTAAAAATACTTTCAATACAGAATGAAATTACACAATAATTACATAAATTAAAATGAGACTAACTTGAATGAATCAAAAGCAGCGCAAAAGCTATGTCCTTTGAACAGTATTTCCATCCCACTTTTATGTTTGTGGTTCTACAACGTCTGCTTAATCAGGATACAACTACCTAATTCTACAACCCGCACTGGATTTTAGAATTCTAGCGAATTGTTTTGTGTGTTTACTCTCTGAGAATTTTGTACAGAAGAAAAAGATGAAGAAAAGATGATTTATGATGGAACTGAGACCTTAGTTATATATGTTATTTCATACCTCTTCAAATACCTTTTGAATGTATCTGAAATCACACAACTCTTTCCAAAGAGTTTTGTGTATTAATCAAAACGTTTTTTAATTAATTTAATTAAAAAACTTAATTCGAAATTAAAATTAATGAACTATGATTAATTTTAAAAACCCTGAGACCCTTGTCTTGATTAATTAATATTAATATTATGGTATATTCATCAAGTCTAATCCACAATTAGTAGCCCACACCTCAATCCTCATTTCAAATGGTCCAACTCCTAATCAATAACAAAGGTCACTAACTTAATATAAAGACCTCCAGTTCCCTTGAGTTCCCCGATGTGGGACTAAAGGAGCTCAAAAACTCCAACAATAATTTAGAAACACCCTTTTCGCTTATGCCATCCTTCAATTTTATTCCAGATTCTTGCAAACTCAAAACAATGTAGTTCCCATGATTGTTACCACCGGAACTGCAACGCTTCTACACTTGTTTATATGTTGGCTTTTGGTATACAAGACTAGCCTTGGATGTAGAGGTGCGGCCATGGCAAACTGCATCGCATATTGGATCAATGCATTGTTATTGTTTCTTTATTTCAGAGTCTCTCTCTCTTGTAAGCACAGATGGACTGGATTTTCAAAGGAGGCCTTCCATGGAATTTCCAGTTTTCTGAAACTATCTATTCCTTCAGCTATAATGATCAGGTAATATATCTCTCATTGACTTAATGGACGCTGACATTAGAGACTTAGAATGCAAATAAGAAATCTGGTCATTTGAAATTTTAATTTGTTAGAACTTACTGTATAGTTGGTTGTTTGTTTTATGACATTGAACAACTTAGAAATGTGGTGTTTCGAAATGATGGTCCTCTTATCTCGCCTTCTTCCTAATCCAATGCTGGAAACGTCAGTCCTCTCAATCAGGTTGGCATTTGACACTAGCTAATCATATTAGACAATATAAACACAGAATACTAACTGATTGTGGCATATTAGCTTAAACACAAGTGCATTGACTTACATGATTCCGCTTGGACTTGGTGGTGCAGCAAGGTGAGTTTAAGGCTCATTAAGTGTTTCATGCTCCGATTTTTCATATTTGTCACAACAGTTCTTTCTGTTCTTAAATAACTTCAAATATCATTTGTTTGCACAAGAGTTTCAAATGAATTTGGCGCTAGGCGATCACGATTGGCCCGTCCAGCAACATTTGTTACACTTTTCATGGTTGCTACTGAAGGAATTGTGGCCGTTGCTGTCATTATATTGGGTCAAAAAGTTTGGGGTTACTGTTCCACAACAAAGAAAGAAGTTGTGGACTATGTTGGAGAAATATTACCGTGGGTTGCAATATCCCACTTTATTGATGGAATTCAATCCGTGCTTTCAGGTCTCCGACATTTTCCTTAATTTCTTCTTCAAACCTTTTTGTGCAATGCCAGGCATTAAAAAAATAAGATTGCTACGTGGTCTCCTCATTCTAATTATATTTGATTTGTTGAAAGAAGTTACTTCGATGTTCGATTTCAGGTGTTATACGAGGAGGTGGACAACAGAAAATTGGGGCTTATGTTAATCTAGGAGCTTATTATCAAATGGGAATTCCTACTGCAGTATTATTAGCTTTTGTCCTGGACATTGGAGGAAAGGTGACTGATGCAAATTTTGTGTTCATGTACTTTTAATTTTTCAAGTCCCCTCAACTTTATCTTTCCTTTTTACAATTTATTTTGCCCTTTCTTAGTATTCCGTGGAAATGAAATACTTCTCGTGTTAATTTCGAATCAACATTTTCTTCGCAGGGTCTTTGGATTGGAATTACAGTGGCCTTGTTTGTGCAAGCATTATGTCTTTCAATCATAATCACATGCACTGACTGGGAGAAAGAAGTAAACTACTATGATCTGTTCTGTTTTGTGTAACTACAATCTATTCTACATTCATCTCATACATACATTTTCATGGCTTTTGTAGGTGAAGAAAGCTTCTGATAGAGTGTACAAAACAATGGCCGCTGCAGATGCAGTATAGTAAAACTGATGCACAAGTCATGATCATACCAAGAATACGTGCCTAATTATTTTGTCTTTAGAAGGCATTTGAAGCTTTATCAGATGCTGAAGACAACATATCTCGAACAATTTTGCATATGATTTGTACGGCTTGCTTTGTCTGGCGGTCTTATCATATGTTCTTGGTATAATTGCCCCAATTTGGTGTTGCAATTTCAAAATTTTGTGCACACGGATAACTGGATCATGTGACTCCTTGTATTTTGGTCCAACATCATCCTTTGTCTGCTGATAAAACACATGTCCGAACTGAAGATTTTCTAGAGGAAATGGCCAGGGCTCCTAGAGGGGTTGATGGTCGTCAAAGTGGTAGATTTACTAGTACTAGTTCTTCAATACAAAATTCCACAATATTCCCTTGAGCAATACTTCTATCATATTTTAGCCTAAATTTTCCCTTATTTATGAAATCCAAGAAAAAACCATATGGCCCGTGACAGTGTTTCTACATTATAAAAGTCTAGAGGAATTTTTTGATGCACGATGTGGCATGTTCTTTTGAAATTTCTTCTTACAAAATGCAGACCAATGGATTACGAGTTTGTTTGTATGAATTAATATTCTACTTAACATTCTATTACTTGAAGAATATGCTTGATCCATGGTATATAATTTTCGTTTGGAATACAGCATATAAATTCAAGTGCACCAGACTTTGTTTGTTCCTTAGACATGATAATATTTTGCACAAGACTGCTGATCAGGGTATCACATGATACAATGTTTCATTGTTCTGCTATATATCATTTAAACCTTTTTGCACTTTTGTGCATTATCACGTTTTTTACTGAAAATTTCACAATTAAACATCCGAGCATTATTGCGTTACAAGTGCCTAACCTAAGTCGACTTTCATCCATTGATTCATTAAATAGTGGAATGCGACAAGTATGTACAGTTAAACATTCAATCTCTATTTAGTCTGATGTCTATACGTAAGAATCAAACTAACAATGTTTGATTCTTATGCAATAACTGACCAATTTTTTACAGATAAAATATAATAACCAGTAGCAAAGTAGAAATTAGATGGGTCTTAGCGATAGATTTCAGATACATGCTTGGACTTAAGATCCCCAATTCCAGATTCATAAATGGCCTTAAGAACTTCGGAATATGAGATTACAAATGAATTTGAGTTATAACTCAAATACGATGACAATTGATGATATTCAGAAAAGATTAGATTTGCTGATATTCATATGGGATTGCAAATGTGTCCTCATATTAATTAGAAATTTCATATGAAAATTGATTTCATTGGAGAGCCAATAAAGTTAGCAAATAGTCATAGAAACTGATTACCCAATCAGAAACCTACAACAACAACAACAAAGTATTTTCCCACTAAGTGAGGTCGGCTATATGAATCCTAAAGCGTCATTGCGCTCCAATCAGAACACCTAATTAATAAAATTGAGTATTAAAACTAAAAGGTAAATTACAGTTTGCTTTCTCAAGTTTGGGTACAAATGCAACATCATACAATATTTTTTTAAAGCATTTTAATCACATATATTTACTATTATTTCATTTCAATGTCACAATTAGTTGAGTTTTCTATCAATGTAATCAGTAAACAATAGACGTGGCAAATATAAGATCTACAATTTTACTAATATGAACGTCAAATTTATGCCACGTGTTACACATGTTTGAAACTAATTATAAATTCGATTAGGATAAAAAAAATATTAAAAGAAACTAAAAAACAAAGCTTGAAGCCTCTATATCCCCCAGAATCCGCTACCTAGAACTCAGCCCCGTAATCGTAACCAGTTTTGAATTCGCTGCTCATCTTGACAATCTCGCAGCCGCTGATTGTGTCTCGAACGCCTACTACCTTGTCTTCCTGCACTATATCACCATCTGGTGTTGAATCACCGCACCTCATCGAATCTGATTCATCAATCCGTCATGGGGCGTTTAGATTTAAATGCCTCGATGTTCTATATGTTAAATTAAACATCATACCTTTTAGAATTTTTATTAAACATTTTCCTACATTTTAGGTGAATATATTATAAGTAGCATTTTTTAATGCGAAGTTACAAAATTCGACATATATATAATGTGCCAATTTGTTAATAATTATTCAAATCTCCTAGAATCTAGTAGACATATGTTTTAAAATTCTAAAAACATATCAAATTTGATTTATTTATGCTTCTAACATGATATATATATATGTCATCTTCTTTCATGACTATTCTACAATCTTTTTGTGTCATTTCTTTGTTGTCGGTCAATACTCTTATGTCCTCCGTTGTGAGTCATGTTCATTCCCCTTCTATTTTTATTTTATGCAAACCTCTTGATTTGAGTATTCGTACCATGGTACATTTGGAAAATAGATTCTAGTGGTAGATGATATGGGGTATGTTTCCATTTAGTATTGGTACGTTTATAGCCGATATGTTGGTACATTTTAAGTTGGCATGGGTACATTTCATATCAGCATCGGTACGTTTCAATTCAGCATGGGTACATTTCTAGATGATATGTTGGTACGTTTCAAGTTGGCATGGGTACATATCATATCAGCATTTGTATGTTTCAATTTGCCATCGGTACATTTCAACATAGCATGAGTACAATTCAAATTAGAAATTAATATATTTAAATTTGGTTTCAATTTAATATTCACATTCATATATCTCATGCCGAATGACATTAATCTCATTTCAACCAATCCCTTTTGTTAACAATTTTTATGCAAATTATATTGTGCTACAATGTTTTAAAATCACTTGTTTTCTGTTGCATACTACACAACCATGCAATCAAACTAGAACTCAACAAGATAAATGTAGCGTCCATGGTGTTTTCATCATGTTAGATTGGCTATCTCAAATTTTTCTATTGATGTAAGTTTTTTTCCATGATCAATAAAGTTTATTATAGAAAAATAAATGTTAAAACTTAAAAAATTAAGAGATTGTTGTAGGCTTATTTGACTGAATTGTATTTAGGACTAGAGAGGGAGATGGGTCGGTGACAAGAGAGAGAAGAGAGAGATTTAATTGTGATGTGTGTGTTGTATCACCCCATTATGCTTTTATTTATAATAGTAGGATAGGTTAAATCCTTACCCTTATAGAATTAAAACTCTAATAGGATAATATCTACCAAGGGGAATATTCCAAGATATCCCTAGATACACTATAATTTACACAATCACATTCCTATTCTAAATGTGACTGCAACACTCCCCCTTGAGTGTGGCGATATTCAGCAGTTGAGGTAGAATAGTTGATGAAGTTAGCGACACAACAGGCGAATGCGAGTCTCTAATTTAAGGAAAGTATGCATAGGTAGTGAAACTCACAAAGCCTCACTATGGTAAAACCTAGCTAAGGTAGGTGAAAACCCATAGACTAAGGAGAAAAGTGAGAAGTATGCAAAATGTCTAAAACAAATATCAAACAGGACAAAAGTAGTGAACTCAATGGAGTATGATCATCCCAAGATGGGTGCCTTATCAAAACCTCGTTAGGTAGCGAAAACCCAATGGGAAAAATGCTTCTAATCGTAGGAAAAAAAGTACATAAAGATCAAGTGAGTATGCTTCAGGATACTCCCCTTGAGTTAGACATAACTTCCAAATAAGAGAACTACAAGCAATTCAACTCAGATAATTTACGCATACCAATTCCTTGGATGAGTTTCTGAAAAGTAGACTTAGGCAATGACTTGGTAAAATGATCAGCCAGATTGTCCTGGGAACGAATTTGCTTGACTTCAATGTTCCGATGCCGTTGTTGTTGGTAAGAATAAAAGAACTTCGGCGCTATGTGCTTGGTGTTGTCTCCCTTAATGCATCCCTTCTTTAACTGCTCGATACATGCTACATTGTCTTCAAAGATCGTTGTAGGAAGGTCAATGATGTAGTAAGACCACTATTGCTTCAAATATGTTCCATGACTGCTCTCTGCCAAAAGCACTCACGAGATGCGTCATGCAAGGCGAGGATCTCAGCATGGTTTGAAGAAGTCGCAACTAGATTTGCTTGGTAGACCTCCAAGATATAGTGGTGTCTCCAACGATAAAGACATAGCCCGTTTGAGAACGTGCCCTATGTGGGATAGATAGATAACTAGCATCTGCGTAACCAACAAGGTAGGAATCAACCCGAGGACCGAGGGGGCATGTTGGAAATGTGCCCTAAAACCAATCATATGACGATACTTTACGGACATTTCACATGTTAAACTAATCTTGTTTAATATAAAGGGCAAAGAAGACGGTTTAAAGTCGTCTCATATAAATGTTATACGCTTAAACGATAAGTCTAAGGAATATGTAATTGGGAGAATGTGATCTAAAGAAGTTAGATTCATGAGACCATTCTCTTTTGTATCCATATCTTAAATGTTCCTGGTCATAGGATCGCTAATTGGGCATTGACAGTCCATTAAGATCAGTACGTGCTATGTCTTCTCTTAGAGAGAGTGACTGGTCTTGAGTCATTAGTGTGACTGACACTAAGACAAGCATGTAGGTGGTCAATAGAGAATGAGTCCACTGAACGCCATCAACAAGGAGTTCCCATACTCATGTCACATGAAAACTTGTGGTTGGGATAATGCAAAGTAGTCATTTGACTGGAGGCATCATAGTTGTCTTATGGTTAGGCCCTTGATCTTTGACTATGTCAAAGTCACTCTGTCAAAGGGTGTCCACCACATAGTTGGGGTTAAGCCACTTAGCCATAGAGGCAAGTGAATGCACAATAAGGGATTTTTAACCTTCAAACCGTTTGAGGGAGAATACTTTATGATATGATTAAGAATCTCTGGCCAGAATATGAATGAGATTTAGGAATTCGTTCCAAATCACATTCAAGGTAATCATATAAGTAAGAGAATCACATTGGATAGCAGACATGAATAACTATCAAATCGAACAATGTGGTCAAGAATATTGTATTAGAGAAAGACCGTATTGCATTGTAATCCC